AAAAAAAATCTTTTATTGTGTGTCACAGAAATGTTCTGTAGTTTTCTTTGTACAGGTCTTTTATGTCTCAGTTAGGTTGACTCCCAAGTATCCCAATTTGTGGTTGGCTATTGTAAATGATATTGCCTTTTTGGTTTTCTTCTCTGAGTTCTCTTTGTTATTGTAGAGGAATCCCACTGATATTTGGATATTGATTGTGTATTCTGCCACCCTACTAAATTGGTCTACTAACTCTGAAGAATTTTTTTGTTGATTCCTTGTGGTTTTCTGTGTATGCTATTATATCATCTACATATAGTGACAATTTAACCCTCTCTTTGCTGATCTGGATGCCTTTTATTTTTTTCTCTTGTCATATTGCCCTAATATGTGCTTCCAATACAAAAGTTAATAGAAGTGGTGACAGTAGACATCCTTGTCTGGAACCTGTTGACAAGGAAAATGCTATGCAACACTCAGGAGAACAATTTCAAATATTACTACATAACTTAGAAGAGACTGGAGAACATTATGCTGAGCAAACTAATTCAGTCTTATAAGGACAAGTACTACGTAAGACCATTATTGTAAAAATAGAAGGATAACTAGTAAAGCATGTATGGAGACCCAAGGGGGTATGGGGTGGGAGCAGAGGAGTGAAGATGGGTAAGGGAGAAAACAGTGTTACACAATTTTGTGGATATAGGCAGGGGGTAAGAGAAATGAGCAAGATCCACTGAAGACCTGAAAAGACAGGGTAATAATGGGGATATTCCAATGATTATTTTTATAAAGCATAATACATGAGAAAACACAGATTTTTACCATGGGGCCAATTGGCAACAGCATGATATAGGGAGAAGAAATTCACACTGTTAACAATTACAGCTTGTTCAGCTCCACAATCAACACTCTTGTAACCAGTAGTCGGGAAATCAAAAGATGTTTTGCACTGGGAACATCTGCTGTCACGGATCTCTTCAGATTACTGAAAAGTAATGATATGTAAGTCTAGAGACTAAAGTGCACCTGATCCAGGCCATGATCTTGGCAAGTACTTGTTATGCATCAGAGAGCTGGATAATGACTAAAGATGACAAAGGAGAATCAACACCTTTGAGTTGTGGTACTGGAGAAGAATCTTGAACATACCATCAGCTGCCAAGAAAGCAAAAAAGTTTGTTCTGGAAAGGGTGAAACCAAGTTTCTCCTTGGAGGCTAGGAGTTTTAAACTCTGTCTAACATACTTTGGGCATTAAGCCAGGAGGGACTGGTCCTTGGAGAAGGACATCATGTTTGGGAGAATGGAAGGACAGCACAGGGATAATGTAGATGGGTGTGTCAGAGTCAGTGAGACTGGCTCAGGACAGGGTTCAGAGCTGCTACACATAGATCACTATGAGTCATAGGCAACTCAACAGTGCATAACAACAGCAAAAACAATGCATTGGAATGATAATATGAAACACAATGTGAATGAAAAAGTGGTGTGAAACACAAGTTATACAAACATTGTAAACAACCCCATATAAAACAAAATTTTAAAAAAGAATGCAAGGTGGGACAAAGAAAATTAAAAACAAGAAACACACACAAAAGGGATAATTTGTTTAAGATCACTACAATTAATATAGTTGTTATTGTTGTTAAGTGCTGTCAAGTTGTAGGCGACTCATAGCAACCCTATGAACAAAAGTCATGAACACATGTATAACTTTTGTCCTTTATCCAAGTTCATAGGGTTTCCAGAGGCAAGCTATTATGCAAGTGAATGTCACTCCAAAATATATGATGTATATGTCCTAGAAATTAACATTATGCTTTGGCTGAGATTGGACATGTCCCTTCAGTGCTGTCCACACAACATGGACAGATGTATGGATAAACAAGGAACAGTTGTAAGTTTGAGAAGCAGGGAGTCATGAGAACCCCTGCGTTGTTAACTTTGTTCCTTCTAGGGTCTAAGGCTAAGTGAAGGAACCAACAGGTCTGGAACCCTGGGAGAAGTGTGGATTCCTGAGTTTGCAGCTGATGCTCAATAGAGCCTCGCTACAAATGGCTGTTCCATATATAGATGAAAAGGTATGGAGACAGGATGCATCCCAAACATGCTCCTACCTTGCCTGATTTTGAACAATGCAGTGTTTCCTTGACCTATTCTGATGACCATTTCCTGGTCCAAGTATAGCCATTGCATCAACATAATAAAGTGTTCTGAGATTTCCATTCTTCTCAATGTTAGTCATAATTTATTGTAATCCACACAGTCAAATGTCTTTGCATAGTGTGTGAAATATACACTCTTCAGACAACCTTTACTTTCAGCCAAAATTCATCTGACCTTGGCAATAATATCTCTAGTGTCACATCCTCTATTAATTCCTGTATTAGAATATATTCCTAATTTATTAGCTTATATTTCTGGTAGTTCTTTGTTAATATATTATTGTACTCTTTTTGCATAATGTTAAGCATAATTTTGCTTCAGTGAGATATCAGTTATTGTACAATAATTTCAACACTCTGTTGGGTCATCCTGTTTTGAAATGGGAACACATATAGATGTCTTCCAGGGAGTGGGTCAAGTAGTTGTCCTCCAGATTTCTTGGCACAACCTGATGAGCACATTCAGGACAGTATTTGTCTGTTGAAATATGTCAATTGGTATTCCATGACTTCTTGGATACCTGTTTTTTTGCCAATTCCTTCAGAGCAGCTTGAACTTCCTCCTTCATCACCATTGTCTCTTGATCAAATATTGTTTCATTAAATTCTCCAGTGTGAACCAATTCTTTTTAGTACAATGACTCTGTGTACTCCTTCCGTCTTCTTCTGAGGCTTCC